GTTCTCTATTTCCACAAGAGCATGTATTACCATAATTTTTTTATTTTGCTCATGTCTGTTTCATATGCATTCCCTCAAGGACAAACTTCCTCACCCGAGGATATTTTCCCATTGATTTTTAGAGAGAGTGGAGAGGAGGGGGAGAGACACACAGAGAGAAACATGGATGTGAGAGAGACACATCGATTGGTTGCCTCCTGCACGCACCCCAGTTGGGGAGGGGATTGAGCCTGCAGCTGAGGTACATGCCTTTGACCAGAATTGAAACCTGGGCCCTTCAGGCTTCCGGTCCATGCTCTATCCACTGGGCCAGACCAACTAGGGTCAAACTTTTATTTATTATTTTACCTATTCAGAATACTGTATAGTCTAGAGTGGGTGCCCAAACAATGCCTGTTCAAATGAAAGAATGATTTCATCTGTGACTTGAAAGAGTTAGTAGCTTCCTTTCAGGTCAAATGCACAAATCAATTCTCAACCAGCAAACAGACCGCCTATAGCTATTCAGGTCACACACCTGTTTTCTTAAATATCATTGCTAAAACACATTTATATTCTATTTTATTACTGTGCATCCATCTTTTACCAGTATTAGAGGTGTCTCATTAAAAAGCAGTATAACTTCAATTTGTTTTTATGCTCACCTTTACAAAAGTTAAAATGAATCACTGACTAAATTCCAGTGTATTTCTTGTATTTATGAAATGGCACAAACCAATAGCAATCTTATGTTGGGTTTCATTTATTCAATTATCCCAGAGCATCAACCGATGTTATAATTACTTGAAAAGCTAACATTGTTCATAGAAATTTGGTAAGAACATTAGTGTACCTGCAAAATTGAAAATGCTAATTAGAAATTATTAAGGCATAATGAAATTTTAACGGTCAGGTTTTCTTTTCAGGTTCTTTTTCTTCCATCCATCCCTTAATTGGCGGGGAGGCAGAGAGGGTTCCCCAGAGACCCATCATTCTCCCTCTTCTCACCTTGAACAAAGGATCTCTGGACGTTATGATCATCTGTATCTGTAGCTTCAACTACCATCTATATGCTCATGATCTCCTTATCTAGATTTGAGTATCACATTTGTATTTCCAACAGAGATTAGGATCTCTCTGATAAGCTCCTCAAAACTCGATGTTTCTCCAAATCTAGTCATCTTCTAGAAGTCCATATCTCATCTATTATCAGTCAAGTTATCTTAGCTTGGGAATCATATTCTATCTTTGGCCCTCTCCCTCAGTTTCTCATTCATATGGTATTAATTCCTTTGTTCATCTTTTAAGAGTTCCTTCTCTCTTTGTCTCCTGTCTTATATTCAAGCCCTCATTGTTTCCCTCCCAGATTTCCTTAGTAATCTCTTGGTATCTTGCCTCTGATTTCACTGCCTTTACATTACTCCAGATTGACTCTTAAGAGTTACAGATCACCTTATGTCTTACCTTACTTAAACCTTTAAGGGTTTCCCCATTTTCTTCCGGATCTGGCTTAAATAACAAAGCATGGCATACAAGGCCCTGGATGCCTGCTCGTTATCCTCTGCCCGATGCTGAATTTGTCTCTGCTTGCTTTCTAGTTGCATCTCCCCATCTTCATATGTATCCTTCACTGCTGGTAGACCAGTTTACTTGCAGTTGTGCAATGAAGCAAATAATTTAATGCCTTTGCAAATGCAGTTCCTCCTGCCTAAAGTGCCCTCGCCCAGAAGCTCTAAATCATTCTTCAAAATATACATCAAGCATCCTGGAAGCCTTCCCTTACTCTCTCCTGAATGAAGTATTTTTTCCTCTGTATGACCATTATCTCCTGGTTTATTAAAATGATTATAAGATTACAATACCAATATTTATTTTCTGATTTTTAAAAAAATAAACGTTTTATTTTAAATAAATAAATGTTTTTCTCATTTGTCATTCTTTATCCTTATTAAGGTCAGAGACTGCATTTTGTTCTTCTAAGTATGCCCAGCATCATTTTAACATGTTAGTTTTTTAACAATGTATGTTTAATTAATGAAATCCTTAAACATTCTCTTTTCTAAAAATTTTATTAATTTGAGAGAGAGAGAGAGAGAGATGGAGCGAGAGAGAGAGATGGAGCGAGAGAGAGAGAGAGAGAGAGAAATGGAGAGAGAGAAATATTGATTTGTTGTTCCACTTATTTATACATTCATTGGTTGATTCTTGAAAATGCCCTGACTGGGGATTGAACAGTCTATTTTGGCATATTGGGAGGATGTTCTAACCAACTGACCTACCCAGCCAGGGCTTAAACATTCTCTTTGTTGTCTTTTGGACATTTCTTTAATTTATGTTCCTTGAACCATTTTCATCTTCATAGAGAAAACTGTATATCTTATTCTAAAAATTATTAGATGTTTCCAGTGGGGTCCCCAAGGCTTGGAGAATCTTTAATTTGATAACCATTTTCAATAAGAAGAGAATAAATAACAAGCCATCATGCCAAATACTATTAACTAATTAATAAAGGAAAATGAAAAATATACCTTTCCTTGGCAAGAAAAGGAAGTGCAATAAAGATGCTATATTTCAAATGCACTTTCATGTCCCCAGGAACTAAATTATTTTAGTTATTAGTTTAATAAACATTACACATTTAGTATATACTGATTTATAATTGTAGTAGTAAAAGCTACTATTTGGAACAAGAAGCGATTTACTATGTTGAGTCCCTGTTCCATTAGTTAGTTCCGTAGAAAAGAAGGTTCTTTAAGTCTCAGGTTCCTTATCTGTACAATGGAACTAAAAATAAATGAGATTATATAAAGGGATTAGTGCTGTACCTGGTACAAAGCATGTAAATGGTAATTGTCATCATCATCATCATCATCATCACCTTTCTCAAAAGGTTACTTCGGTGACATTATTATATAAGTACATTCACAAAACTTTGCAAATTATGAATATCAGCACTAGATACTATGACTTACATGAATAAGTTTGCCATTTATTGTTTACTTTGCCAGAAATGAAACAGTGTCTTTAAATATATCAGTTTTTGAGATTTCCTATTCCTTGGCATTTGGCGATCAGTCATGCTTCAGAGAATCCCTTTTATCACTGTGAGCACCCATTAAAGATTGATAAATTGGCAAGAAGGAGTAAATGCCTCCTTGCCTTTTTATCCCAGCTAGGGAGAATGTCACTCAATGCAGAAGGAACGCCTCTCTCTTGTTTACCTAACTGTGAAAGTGGCTTGAAAAAGCTAAAACTGCTCTTTGGCCACGAGGTAGACCAGCTCAGAGGCAGTAATTTCATCTGCTCAGTGGTACTACCACTGTGCTTCATCACCTCCCTGCCAGCTTGGCCACGGCACACCGCTCCGCTCCGTGTGTTGAATGCCCCGTTTTCCTGATTTCTCCGCTCTGTCGGTATTAAGAACATAAACAAAATCTCAAACTTCCAGGTGGTTCCGGCGTTGGGACTGAGAAATCTGCGCAGATAAGATAGGCTTCTGGTGCAGCGAGGAGACGCCCACTTGAGGCCAGAACCAACATGGACCGAGTGCGGTGTGCCCCCGCGCGCCGCGGCTTGTCCGGATCCTTAGCAGGGCTGGAGGCAGGTCGTGCGCGCAAATATTAGCTGAATAAATGTTCACACCACCGCACTACGTGCCTGGAGTCACCCGCATCCCAACCCAGAAAACACCGAGCTGCGAGAGCTGAATGAGCACGCAACTTAGCAAATATAAAATCTATCTTGTCTCATGCGTCTACAGCAATAAAAGTTTTTATTTTGTAAGCCTCGCGTGTTTTGCTTTCTGTTCTTCTTTTCAAGAACGTTCCTCTGACTTTTATCATTGGAACTTCGCCATGGGGGATCAAACAGCAGCATAGCAGAGAGGAAGACTTTTCAAAGTCTCTTCCCAACGTTATTTGGAGGAGAACAGCAAAGGCCCCACTTTTCGTGCTCCGGTTCCAAACCTGGTATCAGTTTCGGGCCGAGAGAGTTTCTGGCAGCTCCCTTATCTGGTGAGGCGTGGGACGGGTAGATAGGAAAAAGCGAGGGGGGGCGAATCTC